GCGGTCAGCCCAACGCATCACCAGGAGCACACTGCCTGGCCTTCAGCACATCTACAGCACCCGGTGACACAGGAAGGCCAAGAAGATCATCAAGGATCTCAGCCACCCAAGCCACGGCCTGTTCACCCCGCTATAATCCAGAAGGCGAGGTCAGTACAGGTGCATCAAAGCTGGGACCGAGAGACTGAAAAACAGCTTTTATCTCAAGGCCATCAGACTGTTAAATAGCCATCACTAGCCGGCCTCCACCCACCCAGTACCCTGCCCGGAGATTAGTCACTGTCACTAGCCGGCTATCACCCGGTTACTCCTCCCTACACCTTAGAGGCTGCTGCCCTATGTACATAGACATGGAACAATGGTCACTTTAATAATGTTTACATATTGTTTTACCCACTTCATATGTACAGTACCAGTCAAAAGTTTAAAAGGTTTTTCTTTATTTTTACTATTTTCTACATTGTAGAATAATAGTGAAGACATCACCATTAAATAATACATATGGAATCATGTAGTAACCAAAAAAAAGAATAGATTTGAGATTTTTCAAAGTAGCCACCCTTTGCCTTGATAATAATAATATGCCATTTAGCAGATGCTTTTATCCAAAGCGACTTACAGTCATGGGTGCATAAATGTTTTACGTATGGGTGGTCCCAGGGATTGAACCCACTACCCTGGCGTTACAAGCGCCATGCTCTACCAATTGAGCTACAGAGGACCACAGCTTTGCACACTCTTGGCATTCTCTCAACCAGCTTCACCTGGAACACTTTTCCAACAGTCTTGAAGGAGTTCCCACATATGCACTTGTTGGCTGCTTTTCCTTCACTCTGCGGTCCAACTCATCCCAAACCATCTCAATTGGGTTGAGGTCGGGTGATTGTGGAGGCCGGGTCATCTGATGCAGCACTCCATCACTCTCATTGGTAAAATAGCCCTTATATAGCCTGGAGGTGTGTTTTGGGTTATTGTCCTGTTGAAAAACAAATGATAGTCCCACTAAGCGCAAACTAGATGGGACGGTGTATCGCTGCAGAATGCTGTGGTAGCCATGCTGGTTAAGTGTGCCTTGAATTCTAAATAAATCACAGACAGTGTCACCAGCAAAGCACCCCCACACCATCACACCTCCTCCTCCATGTTTCACGGTGAAACCACACATGCGGAGATCATCCGTTCACCTACTCTGCATCTCACAAAGACACAGCGGTTGGAACCAAAAATCTCACATTTGGACTCCAGACCAAAGGACAAATTTCCACCGGTCTAATGTCCATTGCTCGTGTTTCTTGGCACAAGCAAGTCTCTTCTTATTATTGGTGTCCTTTAGTAGTGGTTTCTTTGCAGCAATCGACCATGAAGGCCTGATTCACACAGTCTCCTCTGAACAGTTGATGTTGAGATGTGTCTGTTACTTGAACTCTGTGAAGCATTTATTTGGGCTGCAATCTGAGGTGCAGTTAGGCAGACTAATGAACTTATCCTCTGCAGCAGAGGTAACTATGGGTCTTCCTTTCCTGTGCCAGTCCTCATGAGAGCCAGTTTCATCATAGTGCTTGATGGTTTTTGCGACCGCACCTGAAGAAACTTTCAAAGTTCTTGACATTTTCCGGATTGACTGACCTTCATGTCTTAATAGCAATGATGGACTGTCGTTTCTCTTTGCTTATTTGAGCTGTTCTTGCCATAATATGGACTTGGTTATATACCAAATAGGGCTATATTCTGTATACCACCCCTACCTTGTCACAACACAACTGATTGGCTCAAACGCATTAAGAAGGAAAGAAATTCAAAAAATTAACTTGTGCATTCCAGGTGACTACCTCATGAAGCTTGTTTAGAGAATGCCAAGAATGTGCAAAGCTGTCATCAAGGCAAAGGGTGGCTATTTGAAGAATCTCAAATATAAAATATATTTTGATTTTTTTAACACTTCTTTTCGTTACTACATGATTCCATATGTGTTATTTCATAGTTTTGATGTCTTCACTATTATTCTACAATGTAAAAAATAGTTAAAATAAAGAAAAGCCCTTGAATGAGTAGGTGTGTCCAAACTTTTGACTGGTACTGTATATAGTTTGCCCCCGGTCTGCCTAACGCATTACCGGGGGCAAACTACCCGCCCTCCAAGACACCTACAGCACCCGATGTCACAGGAAGGCCAAAAAGATAATCAAGGACATCAACCACCCGAGCCACTGCCTGTTCACCCCGCTATCATCCAGAAGGCGAGGTCAGTACAGGTGCATCAAAGCTGGGACCGAGAGAATGAAAAACAGCTTCTATCTCAAGGCCATCAGACTGTTAAATAGCCATCACTAGCACATTAGAGGCTGCTGCTGCTGCCTATTGAAATCACTGGACACTTTAAGAAATGGAACACTAGTCACTTTAATAATGTTTACATATCTTGCACTTCTCATCTCATATGTATATACTGTACTCTATTCTATAATATTCTACTGCATCTTAGTCCATGCCGCTCTGTCATTGCTTGTCCATATATGTATATATTCTTAAATTCCATTCCTTACTAGATTTGTGTGTATAGGGTATATGTTGTGAAATTGTTAGATATTACTGCACTGTCGGAGCTAGAAGCACAAGCATTTCGCTACACCCGCAATAACATCTGCTAAACATGTGTATGCGACCAATACAATTTGATTTGATTTTGCACAGTAGCGCCCTACTGTGGTACACTGGATTACTACACCCAGTTCCTCTGACTAACAAAAAATGATTATTAATGTAATACAATAGATGTATTACTGTAGCAGTCAGATAATAGTGATGACAATACCACCAAAAGCCATTAAAAGCTTAAATGCTCTCCCTTGTCGTGTTTATTAAGCATCAAATGGAAGAAAACGGACTGAAACAGGGAGGGACTACCAAAACGTATTCGATAAGAGCTTCTTATGTTTGTTTTCCATTGAAAAACATTTTGCCACAGCTTACCCAAATGAATACAACCCCTGTGTGCCTGGTCAATAGTCGTGACTCATGACACTGACACAGCGGTCTGAGTCAGAGTTAAGCCACGCTTAAGTCAGACTTAAACTAAAGGTCAGTGACATGTTAACATCCAAGGAGGAAAAGACAAGTAGGATCAATATAAGATTGATGCAACGTCACTGCGGCTCCATTGCCACAAAGTCACGACCGGCCCTTCTTGCTGATACATCTACTTTAGGCATCAGGAAATGTATCTTCTTTGTCGATACGACACACTATTGACACTTCCTGGTGTGACCATGAATGTTAAACACATTGATTAGCCACAACGTAATACTGATGAGTAAATCAGAATATACCTATGGTACTAAATGAGAAAATCATAAATGACATCTATGGTACTAAATGAGTCAATCATACAGCTGTAAATTACATCTATGGTACTTAATAACTAAATCATAGATTACATACAGTATATGGTACAAAATTGCATCTATGGTAATGGTACTAAATGAGTAAATTGTAATATACATCTATGGTACAAAAGAAGTGGGAGCTAAGTAGTTCATTTACATTTTGTAAATACAGTACCACAAACACAAAAGTCCTATCACACCACATACAAAGAATGACATGATTTTCAATTTATATCCCAGTCATCTCGGAGTGTCTGTTTTTCCCTGCATGAGCGTAGCCATGTTGGCATTTATAAGAGCACTTCAGAAAATAACCTTGTCCTCATGCATTATATTAGTTGCATCATAACAGTTGCATCAATGTAAGTACTGTATTCACTAGAGAGACCAGAGATGGTTTTCCTCGGATCCATAGATGCACACCAAGCTGCCTGGATATACAATATATCAAAATACAGACAGATATATTGCATAAGCAATATTTTCCAGTTGATTACAGAATCGTTTTTAATGGTTTGGAGAGTGGTTCGACACAGAATTATGACTGTGGATTGAACACATGGGCAGTTAAAGGTTATGATCCCAAAACATTGATCCCAGTTCTTTTAAGTAAACATTTCCTTCTACTGAACAATCATTGGTGACTACAAAACTTTACAGATCTAAAATATTCATAACAAACCATCCTGACCATAAGTTATTTACTACATTATCTGTAAGAACATTCAAATGTGTTGTATTGTCTATGCAAAATAATTACATGTTCAAAGAATACCCTTAAGTAATGATGTCATTTGTGATGGATGGTGGATCAGATTTGACTGCGGTTTGAGCACCCTCTAGTGTTGAGAAATAAATAAGGCAAACAAAAGTAATGTCCTATTCGTCTGTCCAGGGACACACTAGACACTATCACAATGAAAACAGAGAACATCAGATGGGTCCCATTTCATTTATTGGGTCAAAAAGCAGGGTTAAGGTCATTGATCTTCTTCTCATTAAAGACAGTACAACAAATCTCATTTACACTTAGAACAGTACTTGAAGCTCTGTGTAGTATAAGGCAATGTTAAATAGTAGGCATTTCTAGGAATAATAACAGATGTCAGTACAGGGTTTACCTCCACGATCAGGCTATAACGGTAGTAAGGCACTCTTCTTGGACAATGAATTTAGATTCTAACCAATATTTCGCCACAGCAGTAATATAGCAACAGCAAACGTGCAGTCAGGACAAGTGCCATCTTTGGATTCCACTCCTGACAGTTAGCTGCCACAGTTAAGCTTCATTCTAATAAGAGTACTCTGAAGACAGAGATAAGACTACCCTCTCACTCTCTATGAGACTTTCAGCATAAAGAGGGACATACTGCCCCAGCTGCTAAAGCATATCAATTACAGGAAAATTCCACCCAAAGACTTTTGGTATTTGTTTCATTAGTCCATTGTTGATCTTTTGCTTGTAAGCAATCAAGTTTTCAATATATGTAAGACGCAGCATCATGATACAAAATGCACCATAGGGGGATGATTTCTATATTTTAAAAGTTACATATATTGAAAACTTGATTGCTGACAAGCAAACCATTTTGAGACTATGTCAACAATGGACTACTGAAACAAATACCAAAAGATAGTTTTGGGGTGGCGTTTACCTGTAAACTCTGTCTGTACTGTGTAGAATAAAAACATTATCACTAGGCGTCAAAACAGCAAACAGCATATAGCTAGACCTTCAACAACTAGACCTTCCTCCTAACCAACCCTCATCACTAACCAACTGAACCCATCTCATCTCTACCAGTCTCCTCATCACTATCCAACTCAACGGTCTCATCTCTACAGTGTTAATCAGAACCTTCATCACACTAACCTCATCCCCAGGATCAATTTGCTACCGCATAGAGCCGGCTGGGTGGAAGTGATTACCATCACACACAAACATTTACAGTCAACATTAAATACCTTGCTTATGACCTCACCTAGAAGAGCCCTGTCTACATACATGAACCCATCATTCCAACTGCTACACTTAACTATTTTTGACACGGGACCATCATTTGAAGATAAAAAAAAGTACATGCATACATGTAAATATGGCACAAGAGACAAAAACAGATGACATACGTGACAAGACAGTGACAATTCAGGGGATCAATTAATCAAACACGATTAGACAAAGACAAGAGACAAGATCAAGGATCAAATAGGAATATATTAACTTGAATTTGGAATAGTGATTGGTGACTAACCAATGGTTTTGATACAAGCAGGGAAAGCGTACTGGAGGAATTGAGCATTGAAAAATAGTGAAAGCAAATTAGACTATTACACAACCATGCAAAGAAAAACATTATTTCACCAGGTGTTCCTCGTTCCCCTGCACCTGCTCTGACAAAACATGAAGGCAATAACCTTAAAGAGCCATACTTATGCATTCAATGCCATTCAAACATTCAATGAATGTGTAATTTGTAAAAACCATCTACAAAATGGGTTTGTCACATGCTTCGTAAAACAGGTGTAGACAAACAGTGAAATGCTTACATACGGGCCCTTCCCAACAATACATCGAGAAAACTATAGAAAATGATAACACCAGGAATAAATGTGCAATCCGAGTTGCATCTGTTCGTGCCAATATTCACAAGCTGCTCTTTGTGTGTGCCTATTCAGTCATAAATTATCAATAATTTAAGCAATGAGCAAACCACCATTGAAATAATACATTCATAGTGGAGAAGACACGTAAGTTCTCAACTTCACTTGTCATCTGTTCACTGTGTGAATTCATAAATCCATATTAAAATATCTAAAACCGCACGAAACAAAAGTTAATGAATAAAATCAAAAATTATTGTTATCAGAGCAGAGGCTACTGAAGCAGGGAAGACACTCAATCAGTGGGAGCATTGTAACACAACATTGCTATCCAGTATACCAGCTATCTATCCCATGAAAGGACACCATCATGTAATCCACAGGTCCCATTCTAGAGGTGAAAGGTAATTCTTTAATACTGGGGTCCATTCCTGGATCGTCCTCACCATTGCCCATCTGTAAACGTTTTCATGTCCTTCTGACATAAGTGACAGTTGCTTGTCCACAGTCAAAGTCCTAAGAGCAAGTACAATAACCCAGTACTCCCTTAGAATAGATAGTATTCTTCACAGAGGAATTGCAGTGTGTCCACTGGGTTTCAACTCAGTCCAACATTAGTCCATTAGTTTCAACGCAGTCCAACATTAGTATAGATGTTATTACCTAGAATTAATGTACATTTGGGACCAATGACTCCAGGAGCAGATCCACAGGAAGATTTGCCTCTAGTTTGAATACTTCAGAGCCAGCTAGAGGAGAAAGAAAATCATCATTTACACATTCTATCTAATTTCCTATGAAATAAAAAAGGTATTTTCACTTTGATGGGCAAGTTGGAGGGCATTCTAGGGCCTGATATTTTTTAGATGAGGTTACCTGTAGCCCTGCTGGCTTTCTCAGTGGGTAGACATTCTAAACAAGGTCAACTTACACAGCAGGATATCCATAGTGTGGAATGATGCACACTTCATAATAAAAGTTGGACCAAAGTGGACCAAACTCAGGGAAGTCAAACTTTTAACCACATGCTGAATCTGTGTGCGTGTGTGTGTATACTATTTCCATTCAACAATGCTATGTCTCACCTTGTGAGCAGTGTCTGCAAACTGCTGGGCTGTGTGCATCAGGTCTGCCGTCTTGTCCTCGGCCCGGCCCAGTCTCTCCCCACGCTCCTGCAGGGCCTGGCTGGCCCTCTGGACTACACTACCCATACTGCCCCCTGGGGGGTGCTGCCCACTGGGACCTGCTCTAGGACCTGCTGCACAACACACAGGGACAGAGAGTAGTGCATCAGAGATGGGATCCTTAGAAGACTGCAAACAAATCCTGTTAATTGATCATTAACAGTTATAAAACAGATTAGTTCAGTATGTTCATGGGTGAAAGTGTCACAGAGAAGGAGCGCTGATCTAGGATCTGTCCATATAATATTATTCATTATGCTCCAAAAGGCACTCCTACTCTGAGACGCTTTGTGGATACAGGCCCTGGTCAGCTTAGGACAAAGAATCCGCAACATTTGCTGTTGCTCTGTCTCGCTAGGTCTTGCTACTGCCTGGCACCTCTCCCAGTACCACACATGACAACCCCCCTGTCAGCGGGTTCAATGGGGAGCCGCGTTCCTTCTCAGTCTCCCTGCCCCGGAGACTCAAGGCCAGCCTTTGTTTTTTAGCAGGAGGTTTGGACACAAAGTCACCACTCATCTAGGCACAACCTCATAGAAGAGCCATTCTCTACTGCAGCGGAGAGGTGTAACAGAAGACAATAGACCAAAACCATCCATCTCCTGAGAGAGGATTAGGAATCCATGAGAATATAACGGATACAGCCATAGGCCTACTAAGGTCATGTTCCCACATGCCTTTGTCATCTCTGCAAAGATTGTGTTGCTACTCAGTGAGTATTAGAGGTTATTTGGGCTTTTATGACTCACTTACCTCCAGCCTGAGAACGGCTTTGGTTTGAAACCATCACCTTCTTCATGCGGTTGAAAAAGACCTTGCAACGGTACATGACCAGATTCATTGTGCAGGCATCTGTTAGAATGACAACAATGACACCCAATGACACAAATAGTCGAATCTGATAATAGCCGTATTATAACCATGATTTTTTTTTTTTACTACAGAATCAAACATGAAATTGGAGTCCCTGCCATATTATATGAGATGAGAAGACATGCCACTCCTAGGGTTGACCCAGTGGTCCCAGAACAATTCACACTCACATATGATCCAAATTCACTCCCTAACCCTTCCCCTAGGACCTAGCACTTCGATCTGCAAACATGGAAGGGTTAGGACCAAGGGGAAGGGAGTGAATTGGGACTGACTGTTGATAGACTGCATTTTCCTTCAACACTCCCTTACCTCCTGTGAGTTTGGACTGACAGTTAACAAACTCAGTCTGGCGGGGCCTGGGACCCACGGTGCTCTTCCGTCTAGCCTGGGCCCCTGGGCTACTCTGGCCCCCTTGACCTCTTTGGCCTTTCTGCTGGTCCCCAGCTGGGCTAGCTGGGCCACCAGGGACCCCCTCCTTGCCCTCCCAGTAGGTCTGACAGGCGTGGTACATGATCTGGATGAAGATGCACTTCTCTGGTGCTGAGCTGGCCACCCATTGGTCAAAGGCATTGTCGAACACCAGGTCAAACTCTGGGCAGTCCTGAGGGAGATACACAGGAGGGACACAGTATAGGTCACTGGACAGTAGGGGGGAATATTGGTCTAAACAAACATGGGTCAGAAGGTCCTCCAATCCCAGCCAATAGGCCTGTATACTGGTGGTGATGTCACCTTGTTGGGGTTGATGCCGTTGACCTGGCGGAGCTGCTCCACGGCCCACTGTGACCTCCTGGTGAAGGGGGCGGAGCCTCCAAACCGCTTGACCTTGGTGATGAGGAGCTGAGCTGGCCTCTTATTGGTCACTGGGGGATTGGGAGGGGGTCAGGGTTTACAAATATGCCAATACTGAAAGGTAAGCAAGCACACTTCATAACATCCACAATGGAGGAAGGAAATGTGAATGTACTCCCTACTAGAATCACGATAGAAGATTAAAAAGACACTTGATAAAAGATTGGCTATCCAGTAATAGATATGTGTTTCATTGTGAACAAATTAACCCAACACAGAAGGCATTAGTGACCAGTCACCATCGCAGATCAACAAACAGACCGCCAATGCCTATTCTTCTTCAGTGGTTTCTCTTGTTAACACGATATGAGGGTTTTGTAACGGGGGGAGACTGGCAGTGCCAGCTGAGGACACCCAGCCAGCCATCACCCACCCATCAGTGGTGTTTGGGTAGGGCCAGTGAATGACCATGGCTCTGGGTGACTTCATCAAAGTAACAATAGCGACTATGAAGACCGGTGACACTGAACACAGCTAAATATGTGAATGATCCTTCATGCTCAATTTTAGGATCCATGTCCTGACAGTGTCAGACGCAGTTATCTTACATTGCCAGCAGCACAATGTCCTTATTGCAACACGATGAATACCTCTGCATCCTTCCATTCAGACAATGCCACTATGAGACGGTTAAACAATGCAGCTTTTCAATACCCTCCTGAACAAGAGAGTTGTATGTAGCAGGACTACAGAGTAGCAACAGGATAGTGAATTCAAAAAGTCACACTGATCTATCAACCTGCTCTCTCAGTATACCTGGGCCCGTATTCACAGCGTGTCTCAAAGTAGGAATGCTCATCTGGATCAGGTCCCCCCCCCCGTCATTTCTAAGCTTCCTGTTCTTAAGTTTAGTTTTTGCGAGTTTTATTTTCGGTTTTGTACACCAGCTTCAAACAGCTGAAAATACAATATTTTTGGCTATGGAAAATATATTTCACAGCAGTTTAGATGGTACAGCGATTGTCTACACTTGCTTGTTTTGTCATATAAACTGAAATTAGGCGAACTATTAGAATTTTTGCAACCAGGAAATGGAAGAGCGATTTCTGCATAGTGCATCTTTAAAAGGCTAAAACTGATCCTAGATCACCACTCTTACTCTGAGACGCTTTGTGAACACGGGCTGAGGGTCTACAAAAAAGATGTTGAATGCTGATGTAGTCATGATGTTGGATGTATAAAAAAAGCAGCTAACATAGGTGTTACCTGACAAACAGATGTATGTCATGTATTCTCCCTTGCCTCCAGTGGGAAGAAAGGGGACTCTTTTCCTTTTTCTCCTCTTGACCTCCACGGCCACTAGCATCCTCTCATCCCGGGGAGCAAACACCTCCCTGTTGATAGCGGACTGGATATTCATGGTGGAACTGGGTACAGGATATTTGATGGGTGATCTATGAAGATAGTAGACAGAGAGACTGATGATTAGATGAGTTTATTAGTCACATGCACAGGGTCACAGATGTAATTGCAGGGTGCAGTGAAACTATTAAGCTCCGAGCAACAGTGCAGGTCAAAAAAAGAGAAGTGAATGAGACAATAATATAACAAATTAATAACAATATATACACACATTGACAAGTGTAGCAATGATAAAGATCCATTGGGGGGTGGGGGCAGGGTAAATGTCCGTTGGGTGGGCGGGGTAGAACGTCCATAGGGGGAGTAGCAGAGGTGTAAGTGAGAAGTGAATGAAACAATAATAAAACATATTAATATATACATATTCATTGATGTAGACAACAACAAAATCTTATTTTCCTGTGTGTCATATATAGATCATAATTAAACATCAAGGACCCTTAAAGGGTTATTTTTAACTAGTAAAGTGGTGAACTTTACACCTTTAAAAGTGGCAGTTCATTTAAAATCAGTTGAATATCAAATGTATTTAACCGGAGGGAATTAAATTAATCGTAGCAAAATTAATTGCAATAAATTATCCACGGTGGCCTTCAGAACATCTTGCAAGAAAGCAGAAAGAATCGTTTACAATACCTGTTTTGTTGTTTTACCCCTTGCTCCTTCGAGATGCAGAAACAGAGAAGCTGCAGTAATGCTCACCAAACTATTCCAACGCCTTTTAATGGTGTTGTTTTGTCACACAACAACGGCATGCCTTGCGGAGAAGGCGAATCTGTCTGGGAGACCATCCCATTTGAGCAAGTTAGAAGTCACGTGGGAAATTGTACTATTGAGTTGAATCTCATTACAATACATTTTAATAAATACAAATATTAATCTTGGTTTAACAGAATTCTCTTTATTCTTTGCAGGTTGCAAATATCTAGAACATATTGATGAAAACAATGTATGTACTCTTTCAGTACTGTAAAAACGTCCTTTGCCATTAAACTATTTTCAAAGCGCACTGAAATTGGGGTTGATCCACGAAATGAGTGCCCTTTGCATCCCTTCGATATTTTAAGTAGAAATTGTGCACAAATGTTTGATTTAAAAGCCTGTAATATTACACCAAGTGCCCTTTAATATAGACCACATGGAAAATTCAATAAATCCGAATTTTTATATGAATAAAGACTTGCTAATGCGCGAAAATGTCCCTCTGTGCATCCTCCAAAATGTCTTCCAAAGTTTTTACCATCATTGTAAAGCCCTAGTTTTTTCTGTTGCTTAGACAAAGTCATTTCTGAAGATTATTATTTATTTCATGTGATTAGTGATTCATTTTAAGGTAAAAAAAAAAACACAAAAAAGGTCAACCCTGTTATGTGAACTGAACTCTCGCTTTAATATGGTGAAACTATTCCTTTAAAAAATGAATTCAAAAGAAACATTGAACATCTAATAGTCAAATCATAGTGTAAAATCAGCTGAGCTGGTTCTACTCTTTTTGGCCATTTTCTGGTGTTTTGTGGTTGAAAACTTAAGAGGGTCGAGCATAACATTCCAAAACTCTTTAGCCAACTCTCTTGCTATCTCTCTCAGAATGACCTTCTTGATTCAAACCAGTCAGGTTTCAAGACTGGTCATTCAACTGAGACTGCTCTTCTCTGTGTCACGGAGGCTCTCCGCACTGCTAAAGCTAACTCTCTCTCCTCTGCTCTTGTCCTTCTAGACCTGTCTGCTGCCTTTGATACTGTGAACCATCAGATCCTCCTCTCCACCCTCTCCGAGTTGGGCATCTCCGGCGCGGCTCACTCTTAGATTGCGTCCTACCTGACCGGTCGCTCCTACCAAGTGGCGTGACAAGAATCTGTCTCCGCACCACGTGCTCTCACCACTGGTGTCCCCCAGGACTCAGTTCTAGGCCCTCTCCTATTCTCGCTATACACCAAGTCACTTGGCTCTGTCATATCCTCACATGGCCTCTCCTATCATTGCTACGCAGACGACACACAACTAATCTTCTCCTTTCCCCCTTCTGATAACCAGGTGGCGAATCGCATCTCTGCATATCTGGCAGACATATCAGTGTGGATGACGGATCACCACCTCAAGCTGTACCTCGGCAAGACAGAGCTGCTCTTCCTCCCGGGGAAGGACTGCCCGTTCCATGATCTCGCCATCACGGTTGACAACTGTTGAACACCCTGTCGTTCTCCGCTAACATCAAGGCGGTGACCCGATCCTGTAGGTTCATGCTCTACAACATTCTGCCTTACACAGGAAGTGGCACAGGTCCTAATCCAGGCACTTGTCATCTCCCATCTGGATTACTGCAACTCGCTGTTGGCTGGGCTCCCTGCCTGTGCCATTAAACCCCTACAACTCATCCAGAATGCCGCAGCCCGTCTGGTGTTCAACCTTCCCAAGTTCTCTCACTTCACCCCGCTCCTCCGCACACTCCACTGGCTTCCAGTTGAAGCTCGCATCTGCTACAAGACCATGGTGCTTGCCTACGGAGCTGTGAGGGGAATGGAGCTGTGAGGGGAACGGCACCTCTGTACCTTCAGGCTCTGATCAGTCCCTACACCCAAACGAAGGCATTGCGTTCATCCACCTCTGGCCTGCTGGCCCCCCTACCTCTGCGGAAGCACAGTTCCCGCTCAGCCCAGTCAAAACTGTTCGCTGCTCTGGCACCCCAATGGTGGAACAAGCTCCCTCACAACGCCAGGACAGCGGAGTCACTCACCACCTTCCGGAGACACTTGAAATCCCACCTCTTTAAGGAATACCTGGGATAGGATAAAGTAATCCTTCTACCCCCCCCTTACCCCACCCCAAAGAAATAAAAAATAAAAATACATATTGTAAAGTGGTTATCCCACTGGCCATAAGGTGAATGCACCAATTTGTAAGTCGCTCTGGATAAGAGTGTCTGCTAAATGACGTAAATGTAAATGTACATGTAAATGTAAATAACATGTCAACCCTGTTACCTATAGATAGACAGGCTAGAATTTCTTTCTAAAGAAAACATTTTTTGGGAGCTTGCATTCAATTGCCCCTTCCTGTTGCACACAACAGGCTTCCATTCCCCCTGTCACAAGGGGATTTATGGCTGACTTAAGATGAAATCGTCAACACTGTTACGGTCAACCCTATCACTTTATTTGGCACTTACTATAGTATTTTTGTATTTAACCTCTGGAGATTTGAAAGCCATCTGTTTTTCATTAAGTGGAACATGTGCTCTTTTTGACAGAACGTTAAAATTAGGTGAAGTAACACTACTCAAAAGGCACCTAATTGGTGGAATGATCATGAGTAAAGTTGAATGAACTGAGACCACAGACAGACAGCTGTAGAGATCCATTTTAATGTAAAACAAAAGGTTTACCAAGGTTAAGCATTACGTCATTAATTTGAACAAAACACAGGTTAAAAAGAGTGAGCAATGAGCATGACACAGAAGATTGGACAGTGAGCGGAGACATGACAGAAAAAGAGTGTCCTCTGGTGCAAGGCAAAGGGAGGTACAGTTGAAGGATGGACTACCCACAACACAATCTATCACAATTCCATGCCCTTAGGGTACAGTACTTCATTTTGCCTAGAATGACAACTCTATGCACAATTAAGAGAAGACATCTATGTCAGTTGCACATTATGGCACATGAATGGGTAAGTTGTATCATAAGAAAGAAGGAGGTATCAGCTTGCTATGTTTGAGTGTAACAGTGACAGTGTGACATGTACACAACGATATGCAGAACCAAGGAGAGAAGCACAAACAAGTTGTCTCTCAATACTCATGACTGAGCCAAACTGAATTAAGCTGAGCTGTATTGGACTGGCCTGGTTACTCCTCCACTATAGTCGCTGGAACCATGCTAGAAAGGACAAAGTGAAAAGAAAATATCTGTGCCAGCACAGTACAGTTCGGCTCGGCCATATAGTGTGAATCAGGCATTTGTAAGAGAAGATGCATTGGGATGACACAGTAGCATACCTAGGAATCTGACAGTATGACTTAACAAGGGATGCACTCAAACACATCAGAGGAGAACTTAAACAGCAAACATTCACAAGAAAGTAAAAAGTCATTCTCTAACACATACTGTGTTTACACAAATCATATTAAAAAAAACTTCCTGATGGTAAGCTTGATCCTTGATTATGGCAGAGAGATCCAATATGAGTGATGTCATTCGGTGTTAGTGTAATTAATAAATAAATAAATAATCATCATCATGGAGGAACCCTCCAATTGGCTTTCAATGAGCCTGCATGCTACAATCCCTCACTTCTAGCAAGACAATCTTAAGCAGAGCTTCTTCATCCCTGTCTATGTACATACTGCATATCATGCTTCGTTTTAATTTTGACCCGAATAGTTCTTGATTTAAATAAAGTGTTAGAAAAATAAGGGCAGTGTACTCTGCAGACCGCTCCACTGCAACTCTGTTTAGTTCCGTGGATGCACATGAAACATTTTGGGTCCTTCATGTGTGTGTTCCTCTTGTTTTACTGATATGTTGTATCTCTGTTTGTTGCCTGACTAGAAAGTGCAGAAATATGTAAAGCTACCGTATATGTACAACATGTCACTGTTAGTAGTACAAATGGAGTGCTGTTTTCAATCAAGACAATTCACAGTAGAACAAAGCAATTCTGTGGCCTTCCAATGGATCCAATGGAACCTGCCACTAAGTTATAGGAGAGAGCTAAACAAAAATGCTTGTGGTCCTCTGTAGCTCAATTGGTAGAGCATGGCGCTTGTAACGCCAGGGTAGTGGGTTTGATCCCCAGGACCACCCATACGTAAAAATGTATGCACACATGACTGTAAGTCGCTTTGGATAAAAGCGTCTGCTAAATGGCATATTATATTATATAATTATTTGGCAACTTTGCTAAAGTTGTGTATCCAACATTAGTATCTTTCAGTTAGTCTTGCAGTTAGTCAGTTAGTGTAAACATGGGAACATGACATATAACAATTTGGCGACTCCCCACATCATCGTAGCAGTACAGTTAGTATATAGGGCTGCATTTTATAAGTATGCTCCAGTCCGATGCCGTCATCATTAAAGGGGCTTTAACCCTAGCCTGGTTAAACCAGACTGAACAGATAAAACAATGGTGAGTGCAGCGTTCCGTCTGGCTACTTCAACCCTTCCATAACAATCCACTTTGATTGACCTGACGGGTTGAAATCAAACGATGAAATTGAATGGGTTTCAATGTTCTTCTCTGAGGCATTCAGACCATGAAGGGATGGATTTGAATGTAACTCTCTCAACAGGCTAAACATCTGAATGAGTGTTGATGCTCAGAGTTGAGAGAGGTTAGGCTTGAGCCGTGGCTACAGTCTCAGGAGTCCCACAGACCGAGTCAAAGCTGTGTCCGACACCAACACAGTCCTAGAGACACAGTCATCGTTTACAGTCACAGGAAAGAGGAACAGTCTTAATTGGGGTTGGTGGGTGCTTTGGAGGGGAGACAGTATTCAATAAACCCACATGGTGGATGAATTGACAGCATTGGGACCATTAGAGGAACAGTCACTATTAGAACCATAGAGTAAAGGGAAAGGTCTCTGACGAGATGACCACAGGCTGACCACAGGCTGTGGAGTGGTCTCTGATACACAGTTATGTCTCCTCGGTCTGGTTGCAAGATCAAGTGTGTGTGTTTGCGTGTGTGTGTGTTGGCTGTGGGTTACGATAACTCTGGGTTATCCTCAGAGAGCTGAGTGGGATACTCCTGTCTATACATGAAAGTGAGAAGAAATAGTGCCACGTCGTGTGAACACCAATAGGCAGTGTGAGAGGTCACCGCCGACCAATAGCGGCTCTCCACCATGCCCTCTCGCAGCTCAAAGTCAATACGCCTCTCCAACTCCACTGTAACACACAGAAAGACAAAGAGTTCCACAACAAACACACACACAAACACACAAACACGCACACACACTTGAAATACTAGCCAAAACAGTTAGAAAATGCAATAGGGAAACCTCTGTCAAAAGGACATTGTGCATAGTAAAGTTCACTGCTGGTTTCCGATAACAATATGAGGGAGTAGACCTGGGTCCAATACCTTGTTCAAATACTTTAAAATAATTACGATGCGCTTGATTTAGCCTGCCTAACATGAGTTTGCACTTTTGGTTATGACACCGGTTTGGTTATACACTCAGAAAAAAAGGTGCTATCTAGAACCAAAAAGGGTTCTTTGGCTGTCCCCATAGGATAACCCTTTGAAGAACCTCTTTTGGTTCCAGGTAGAACCCTTTCCACAGAGGGTTCTACGTGGAACCAAAAAGGGTTCTCCTATGGGGACAGCCAAAGAAAACGTTTTACTGTAAAAGCACCTTGTGACAACTGCTGATGTAAAAAGGGCTTTACAGATACAGTGAGGGGGAAAAGTATTTGATCCCCTGCTGATTTTGTATGTTTGCCCACTGACAAAGAAATGATCAGTCTATTATTTTAATGGTAGGTTTTTTTGAACAGTTAGAGATAGAATAACAACAACAAAATCCAGAAAAACGCATGTCAAAAATGTTATAAATTGATTTGAGGGAAATAAGTATTTGACCCCTCTGCAAATGACTTAGTACTTGGTGGCAAAACCCTTGTTGGCAATCACAGAAGTCAGACTTTTCTTGTAGTTGGCCATCATGTTTGCACACATCTCAGGAGGGGATTTTGTCCCACTCCACAGATTCTCTATGGGATTAAGGTCTGGAGACCAGTTCTCCTCTGAATCATTCAGATGTTCATTGGCAAACTTCAGACGGGCATGTATATGTGCTTTCTTGAGCAGGGGGACATTGCGGGCGCAGCAGGATTTCAGTCCTTCACGGCGTAGTGTGTTACCAATTGTTTTCTTGGTGACTATGGTCCCGGCTGATTCCTCACCGTTCTCATGATCATTGCAACTCCACGAGGTGAGATCTTGCATGGAGCCCCAGGCCGAGGGAGATTGACAGTTCTTTTGTGTTTCTTCCATTTGCGAATAATCGCACCAACTGTTGTCACCTTCTCACCAAGCTGCTTGGCGATGGTCTTGTAGCCCATTCCAGCCTTGTGTAGGTCTACAATCTTCTCCCTGACATCCTTGGAGAACTCTTTGGTCTTGGCCATGGTGGAGAGTTTTGAATCTGATTGATTGATTGCTTCTGTGGACAGGTGTCTTTTATACAGGTAACAAGCTGAGATTAGGAGCACTCCCTTTAAGAGTGTGCTCCTAATCTCAGCCCGTTACCTGTATAAAAGACACCTGGGAGCCAGAAATCCTTCTGATTGAGAGGGGGTCAAATACTTATTTCCCTCATTAAAATGCAAATCAATTTATAACATTTTTGACATGGGTGTTTCTGGATTTTTGTTGTTGTTATTCTGTCTCTCACTGTTCAAATAAACCTACCATTAAAATTATAGACTGATCATTTCTTTGTCAGTGGGCAAACGTACAAAATCAGCAGGGGATCAAATACTTTTTTCCCTCACTGTACATTTGACTGATTGACTGATTGATTGATTGTGCCTGACAAGCTAAATCAAGCACACCTCAAGTATTCAGTATCAAATATTTGCAATACATATTTGATCCAGGTCTGTGGGGAGCACTAAGGTAGGTGCCTGGTTAAATAGGTCCGGTATAGGGATACGTACATGTGGTGTTGTCCAGGATAGCCGAGGTGGAACGAGACATGGAGTGCTCTATTTCCCTCGTCTCCTCGACTACCTGTAACTTCTCCTCTAACTCCGCAGCCACGCCCTCCTCTCCCGATATGGCATTATCCACCTCCGAGACCCCACCCTCCGAGTCGGAAGGCTCCTCCTCCACGCCGCCCACATGACCACTTGAGCGTGAGAAGCGGGAGAAGAAGATCCCGCCGATGCCTTTGCCGAGACTTGCCGCGCCTGCCGAGAAAGAGAACACCGCGAAACTCAAAGACAGACAAGCACACACACACACACACACACACTCTCCCGATCGCATGGCAGAGGCCAGGACAACACATTTAAGTCTAATAACTTCTCACAGATACAGGCAGGAAAACAAGTGAACATTTATACTGTACATATCACCCCCATTGATTTAAATAATCAATGCCTTAGACTTGGTCCTATACTGCAAAGTGTTCTGTAATAATAATTTCTAATCATGAATGAAGGAAATCCTTTATTCAGAGGTCCTATAGTGTCAATCCCTGTGACAAGACTTAATGGCTCTCCATTGATTTGTTGAGGTTGGGTTTTCTGGAAAGTGATTATGTGCTTGGCTTGCTGCTATATCAGCTATGCAAGCTACTTCTGTTTCAGACAGCTCAAATTAGGTCTTTCCACAGAATTAAAGAATAGTTACACATACAGTGCCAGTCAAACGTTTGGACACACCTACTCATTCAAGGGTGTTTCTTTATTTTTAATTTTGTTTACATTGTAGAATAATAGTGAAGACATCAAAACTATGAAATAGCACATATGGAGTCAAGTAGTAACCCAAAAAGTGTTAAACAAATTTCTACACTGCTCAAAAAAATTAAGGGAACACTAAAATAACACATCCTAGATCTGAATGAATGAAATACTCTTATTAAATACTTTTTTCTTTACATAGTTGAATGTGCTGACAACAAAATCACACACAAATTATCAATGGAAATCAAATTTATCAACCCATGGAGGTCTGGATTTGGAGTCACACTCAAAATTAAAGTGGAAAACCACACTACAGGCTGATCCAACTTTGATGTAATGTCCTTAAAACAAGTCAAAATGAGGCTCAGTAGTGTGTGTGGCTTCCACGTGCCTGTATGACCTCCCTACAACGCCTGGGCATGCTCCTGATGAGGTGGCAGATGGTCTCCTGAGGGATCTCCTCCCAGACCTGGACTAAAGCATCCGCCAACTCCTGGACAGTCTGTGGTGCAACGTGGCGTTGGTGGATGGAGCGAGACATGATGTCCCAGATGTGCTCAATTGGATTCAGGTCTGGGGAACGGGCAGGCCAGTCCATAGCATCAATGCCTTCCTCTTGCAGGAACTGCTGACACACTCCAGCCAAATGAGGTCTAGCATTGTCTTGCATTAGGAGGAAACCAGGGCCAACCGCACCAGCATATGGTCTCACAAGGGGTCTGAGGATCTCATCTCGGGACCTAATGGCAGTCAGGCTACCTCTGGCGAGCACATGGAGGGCTGTGCGGCCCCCCAAAGAAATGCCACCCCACACCATGACTGACCCACCGCCAAACCGGTCATGCTGGAGGATGTTGCAGGCAGCAGAACATTCTCCACGGCGTCTCCAGACTCTGTCACGTCTGTCACATGTGCTCAGTGTGAACCTGCTTTCATCTGTGAAGCGCACAGGGCGCCAGTGGCGAATTTGCCAATCTTGGTGTTCTCTGGCAAATGCCAAACGTCCTGCACGTTGTTGGGCTGTAAGCACAACCCCCACCTGTGGACGTCGGGCCCTCATACCACCCTCATGGAGTCTGTTTCTGACCGTTTGAGCAGACACATGCACATTTGTGGCCTGCTGAAGGTCATTTTGCAGGGCTCTGGCAGTGCTCCTCCTGCTCCTCCTTGCACAAAGGCGGAGGTAGCGGTCCTGCTGCTGGGTTGTTGCCCTCCTACGGCCTCCTCCACGTCTCCTGATGTACTGGCCTGTCTCCTGGTAGCGCCTCCATGCTCTGGACACTACACTGACAGACACAGCAAACCTTCTTGCCACAGCTCGCATTGATGTGCCATCCTGGATGAGCTGCACTACCTGAGCCACTTGTGTGGGTTGTAGACTCCGTCTCATGCTACCACTAGAGTGAAAGCACCGCCAGCATTCAAAAGTGACCAAAACATCAGCCAGGAAGCATAGGAACTGAGAAGTGGTCTGTGGTCACCACCTGCAGAACCACTCCTTTATTGGGGGTGTCTTGCTAATTGCCTATAATTTCCACCTGTTGTCTATTCCATTTGCACAACAGCATGTGACATTTATTGTCAATCAGTGTTGCTTCCTAAGTGGACAATTTGATTTCACAGAAGTGTGATTGACTTGGAGTTACATTGTGTTGTTTAAGTGTTCCCTTTATTTTTTTGAGCAGTGTATTTTATATTTCAGATCCTTTAAATAGCCACCCTTTGCCTTGATGACAGCTTTGCACACTCTTGGCATTATCTCAACCAGCTTCACCTGGAATGCTTTTCCAACAGTCTTGAAGGAGTTCCCACATGCTGAGCACATGTTGGCTGCTTTTCCTTCACTCTGCCGTCCGACTCGTCCCAAACCATCTCAATTGGGTTGCGTTTGGGGGATTGTGGAAATCAGGTCATCTAATGCAGCAATCCATCACTCTCCTTCGTGGTCAAACAGCCCTTACACAGCCTGGAGGTGTGTTGGGTCATTATCCTGTTGAAAAACAAATGATAGTCCCACTAAGCCCAAACCAGATGGGATGGCGTATCGCTGCAGAATGCTGTGGTAGCCATGCTGGTTAAGTGTGCCTTGAATTCTAAATAAATCACAGACAGTGTCACCCGCAAAGCACTCCCACACCATCACACCTCCTCCTCCATGCTTCATGGTGGGAACCACACATGCGGCGATCATCCGTTCACTTACTCTGCGTCTCACAAAGACACAGCGGTTGGAACCAAAAATCTCAAATTTGGACTCATCAGACCAAAGGACAGATTTCCACCGGTCTAATGTCCATTGCTCGTGTTTCTTGGCCCAAACAAGTCTCTTCTTCTTATTGGTGTCCTTTAGTAGTGGTTTCTTTGCAGCAATTCAACCATGAAGGCCTGATTCGCGCAGTCTCCTCTGAACAGTTCATGTTGAGATGTGTCTGTTACTTGAACTCTGTGAAGCATTTATTTGGGCTGCAATTTCTGAGGCAGGTAACTCTAATGAACCTATCCTCTGCAGCAGAGGTAACTCTGGGTTTTCCTTTCCTGTGGCAGTCCTCATGAGAGCCAGTTTCATCATAGTGCTTGATGGTTTTTGCGACTGCACTTGAAGAAACTTTCAAAGTTCTTGAAAATTTCCAGATTGACTGACCTTCATGTCTTAAAGTAATGATGGACAGTTGTTTCTCTTTGCTTATTTGAGCTGTTCTTGCCATAATATGGACTTGGTCTTTTACCAAATAGGGCTATCTTCTGTATACCACCCCTACCTTGTCACAACACAACTGATTGGCTCAAATGCATTAAGGAAAGAAATTCCACAAATTAACGTTTAACAAGGCACACCTGTTAATTGAAATGTATTCCAAGTGACTACCTCATGAAGCTGGTTGAGATAATGCCATGAGTGTGCAAAGCTGTCATCAAGGCAAGGGGTGGCTACTTTGAAGAATCTCAAAAATAAAATATATTTTGATTTGTTTAACACTTTTTTGGTTACTACATGATCCCATATGTGTTATTTCATAGTTTTGATGTCTTCACTATTATTCTACAGTGTAGAAAATAGTAAAAATAAAGAAAAACCCTCCAATGAGCAGGTGTGTCCAAACTTTTGACTGGTACTGTATATATATATACAGTTGAAGTCGGAAGTTTACATACACCTTAGCCAAATACATTTAAACTCAGTTTTTCACAATTCCTGACATTTAATCCTAGTAAAAATTCCCTGTCTTAGGTCAGTTAGGATCACCACTTTATTTTAAGAATGTGAAATGTCAGGATAATGGTAGAGAGAATGATTTATTTCAGCTTTTATTTCTTTCATCACATTCCCAGTGAGTCAGAAGTTTACATACACTCAATTATTATTTGGTAGGATTGCTTTAAAATTGTTTAACTTGGGTGAAACGTTTCGGGTAGCCTTCCACAAGCTTCCCACAGTAAGTTGTGTGACTTTTGGCCCATTCCTCCTGACAGAGCTGGTGTAACTGAGTCAGGTTTGCAGGCCTCCTTGCTTGCACACGCTTTTTCAGTTCTGCCCACAAATATTCTATAGGATTGAGGTCAGGGCTTTGTGATGGCCACTTCAATACCTTAACTTTGTTGTCCTTAAGCCATTTTGCCACAACTTTGGAAGTATGCTTGGGGTCATTGTCCATTTGGAAGACCCATTTGCGACCAAGCTTTAACTTCCTGACTGATGTCTTGAGATGTTGCTTCAATATATCCACATAATTTTCCTTCCTCATGATGCCATCTATTTTGTGAAGTGCACCAGTCCCTCCTGCAGCAAAGCACCCCCACAGCATAATGCTGACACCCCCGTGCTTCACGGTTGGGATGGTGTTCTTCGGCTTGCAAGCGTCCCCCTCTTTCCTCCAAACATAACGATGGTCATTATGGCCAAACAGTTATATTTTTGTTTCATCAGACCAGAGGACATTTCTCCAAAAAGTACGATCTTTGTCCCCATGTGCAGTTGCAAACCGTAGTCTGGCTTTTTTATGGCGGTTTTAGAGCATTGGCTTCTTCCTTGCTGAGCGGCCTTTCAGGTTATGTCGATATATGACTTGTTTTACTGTGGATATAGATACTTTTGTACCTGATTCCTCCAGCATCTTCGCATGGTCCTTTGCTGTTGTTCTTGGATTGATTCGCACCAAAGTACGTTCATCTCTAGGAGACAGAACGCGTCTCCTTCCTGAGCGGTATGACGGCTGCATGGTCCAATGGTGTTTATACTTGCATACTATTGTTTGTACAGATGAACGTGGTACCTTCAGGCGTTTGGAAATTGCTCCAAAGGATGAACCAGACTTGTGGAGGTCTACACATTTCTTTCTGAGGTCTTGGCTGATTGCTTTTGATTTTCCCATGATGTCAAGCAAAGAAGCACTGAGTTTGAAGGTAGGCCTTGAAATACATCCACAGGTACACCTCCAATTGACTCAAATTATGTCAATTAGCCTATCAGAAGCTTATAAAGCCATTACATCATTTTCTGGAATTTTCCAAGCTGTTTAAAGGCACAGTCAATTTAGTGTATGTAAACTTCTGACCCACTGGAATTGTGATACAGTGAATTATAAGTTAAATAATCTGTCTGTAAAGAATTGTTGGAAAAATGACTTGTGTCATGCACAAAGTAGATGTCCTAACCGACTTGCCAAAACTATAGTTTGTTAACAAGAAATGTGTGAAGTGGTTGAAAAACGAGATTGAATGACTCCAACCTAAGTGTATGTAAACTTCCGACTTCAACTGTATATATTAATGGGTGGGTCTGTCCTTGACTAAAGCCTAACAGCCCACTCCCTCTACTATGAAATAACAAAATAAGCCAATTTCAGGAAAGACCAAAGTAAAAAACACCAACAAGATAAACAAAGAGCAAAGTCTAAAAAGCAAGATGATAAAAATTAAGAATCCATCACTGAAAGACCCTATGTCTCTCCCTTCCTCCCTCCCTCCCCCATCTCTCACTCCCTCTCTCACCCATAATGCTGGCTTTCCCCAGGTTTGTAATGGACTCTCCGTAGTGTCTTCGGGCCTGAGGAGGGGAGGTACAGGGGCTAGGGAGGCTCTCCGTGTCCGAGACAGATGCAGTTTCCTTCAGTGCAGGGTTGAGAAGCGTGGGACGGATCTGGTCGTACGGAGTCGGGCTACTTGTGTTATACCTGTAGATCCCGGTCACAATACAATACATGACATTCACAAACACTGATTCGTACAAAACTGCTCCAAGGGTGCTGCTCTGCCACCGATTCTGTGCTGCTCCCAATATATGTGTGTGTGTGTGTGTGTTCTGACTGTGATCTATTCTATTCAAAAATATATACTAAATCCACTACTCACCAGTGTATTTGGACAGGTGAAATGTTACTATAGTTCTTTAAGATCAGGGGCTCCAATCGGTACGCCTGAAAATACAGCCATAGGCATCATTAAGCACATCCATCATGCCATCAGCAATCTCGGAACCGGAACCAAAAAAACAAATCTTACGTGCACTAGCTAGCTAGCCACTTTATTTTATTCTGGAAGCGGAAACGGAAACAGCAGGTATCTGTCCACCCCTACCAAAGCCCTTCCCAAGCCCAATTCCTTTCCAATCTTTTACGGATCTACTACAGTATGCCATCAGTGAATGACTGCATGACTGAATGACTCTACTGTCTGGTTTCAGTTGGTTGGCTCACCACAGGGTCGGTAGGATGAAAAACATTGAAGAGACGTTGGCAGATGGATTTGGGTAAGATGTGATCCTGGGTCACATTGTTCCCCGGTCGGATCCCTCGCAACGCCAAGAACACGGCCAGCGGAGAACCCATGCAAAAGAAGTTCTCCACCTAGAACAAAATAAAAGGCACAGAGAACGTCAGAGCGGAACCGCTGTTAAATCCATGGCTCAATCTGTCTGTCATAACAATTAGAAGGAATGGAATATGGAATTTGTCAACGTCACCTTAAATTTCAAGGCTGAAGAAGAACCTTCAGATGATGGGGATTGCAAACCAGCAAACTGATTTTCCAAATCCCGTAACCTTTAGACATGAATGCAACACCAATATTATCACACAACTGTAAATGAAACATAAACATTCAACACTGGGGACAAATGACAGTGGGATCTGGGTCGTATTCAATAGTGCACACCGTAGCATAATAAATCATGGGCATTAATATGGAGTTGGTCCCCGCTTTGCTGCTATCACAGCCTCCACTCTTCTGGGAAGGCTTTCCACTATATGTTGGAACATTGCTGCGTGGACTTGCTTCCATTCCGCCTCAAGAGCATTAGTGAGGTCTGGCACTGATGTTGGGGGATTAGGCCTGGCTCGCAGTCGGCATTCCAATTAATCCCAAAGGTGTTCGATGGGGTTGACAAACCATTCTTCTATGGACCTCGCTTTGTGCACAGGGATATTGTCATGCTGAAACAAGAAAGGGCCTTCCCCCAAACTGTTGCCACAAAGTTGGAAGCACAGAAACGTCTAGAACGTCATTTTATGCTGTAGCGTTAAGATTTCCCTTCACTGGAACTAAGGGGCTTAGCCCGAACCATGAAAAACAGCCCCAGACCATTATTCCACCAAACTTTACAGTTGGTACTATGCATTCAGGCAGGTAGCGTTCCCATGGCATTTGCCAAACCCAGATTCGTCCGTCGGACTGCCAGATGGTGAAGCGTGATTCATCACTCCAGAGAACGCGTTTCCACTGCTCCAGAGTCCAATGGCTGCGATCTTTACACCACTCCAGCCGACGCTTGGCATTGCGCATGGTGATCTTAGGCTTGTGTGGGGCTGCTCGGCTATGTAAACCCATTTCATGAAGCTCCCGACGAACAGTTAATGTGCTGACGTTGCTTCCAGAGGCAATTTGGAACTCGGTAGTGAGTGCTGCAACCGAGGACAAGGGATTTTTACAGGCTACGCGCTTCAGCACTCGGCGGTCCCGTTCTGTGAGCTTCTGTGGCCTACCACTTCGCGGCTGAGCCGTTGTTGCTCCTAGACGTTTCCACTTCACAATAACAGCACTAGCAGGGCAGAAATTTGACGAAATGACTTGTGGGAAAGGTGGCATCCTATGACGGTGCCACGTTGAAAGTCACTGAACTCTCCAGTAAGGCCATTCTACTGCCAATGTTTGTCTATGGAGATTGCATGGCTGTGTGCTCGATTTTATACACCTGTCAACAACGGGTGTGGCTGAAATAGCCGAATCCACTAATTTGAATGGCTGTCCACATACTTTTGTATATAGTGTATCTCGGCATAGGCCTATTTATTTCTGCAACAACACACTCACTCATCATCACAAATGGTAAACAAGCTAGTTACAGTGCCTCCTAAAGACATGACTGACATCTGGAAAAAAGGGTGTGCTATCAGCTGAGCATTGATGTTGATGATTGATGTAAATCTACAAGTTAGCTAGCTCAATTTCTTTTACTGATTGTGATTGTGATTGTGGTCCCCTGTAGCTCAGTTGGTAGAGCACGGTGCTTGCAACGCCAGGGTTGTGGGTTCATTTCCCACGGGGGGCCAGTATGAAAATGTATGCACTCACTAACTGTAAGTCGATCTGGATAAGAGCGTCTGCTAAATGACTAAAATGTAAATGATTTACCTCTATATGTCTTTCTCCCTCTCTCTGCTGTGGGTATCATCCAATCAGACCCAATATTGATGATAATGTAGGCTAAATCAAGTGTTAATCAAATGCTGTGGCAGCACAGTTTTTAAAAACTATTTAAAGTTTATTTATTTTAAAACCTAGCGGTCAAACAGGGAAATGGTTACAATCGTTTTTTCCACCATACATTTTTCCCATAGGGGATTTTAGAACTTAAAATAAGGGCAGTGTTTCGTGTAGGCTAACCCTGATGTGACGTTTTGATAACCCATTAAATCTCTCGGACAAGGTGACGTTTATCAATATATTCGCCTGTATTTACCTCCAACAAATGAAATGCTAATTAGCTGCTAATGTGGCTATCATAAAGAACTACAAATGCTATGATGATCTGGACAAGACTGACGAATCGAGGCAAAGGTAAGAATCTCTGCATTAACTATTTAATGTTACCTACATGTAGTCAAGAATAAATTGGCTACATTTCTTTACATTTACCTTTCAGCAAAGGTGCCTGCTAGAGATGACGTGCAGGAGCTTGCAGTGATTTGTAGTCTTGCATGATGTCTACTTTGATGCTAATTAGCATTTTCGAATCTGAGAGTAAATAGAGCCGAATATATTGATAAAAGTCACCTTGTCCGAGATAAATGTACATGGTTATCAAAACATCACGCCAGGGTAAGCCTACACGAAACACAGCCCTTATTTTAAGTGTTTCTAAAATCCCCTATGGGAAAAATTAATGGTGGAAAAACGATTGGAACCATTTCTGTTTGACCGCTAGGTTTTATTGGTATTATGACACCTCCACTGTGGGGCTCTATAGAGAGGAGGGGGTGTGGCCTGGGTCCTATCAGGACCAGCGAGTACTGCCAAAGCACGCCCGGCATCCCGTTTGACCCGGAATGAGTCAAGCCTGGGGTGGGGGGATACTGTTGGCAGTACTGTTGATATTTAAACTAGGTAGCTAGCTAGAAACACGACCTGTGACCGCATTTCTCAAGCCATGCATGTTTGGATATCGGGAGAGCACAAGCTCCGTACAGGGCAGCTCAACAGGCGCAACCAACGGACAGGGTGGGGGTAGCGAACTTGATGGCGACTTGCGGGCAGTGGGTTTCAAACAACAATGACAAAACAAAATAATATTTTTGGGGGGGAAATTATACCACCACCCAAAAGGGCACTTGGGAAACTGGAAGGGCAAAGGGGCATGTGCTCTGCACAGGTAGAGCATGACCCTGGCTATTGAGTGTCTACCTACCTGAGTCGTGTGAGTCTCAGCTCCTCTTGTAGTTGACGCTCCTGATAGCTTGGCCAGCACTCTTGCATCTCTTTTGGGTCCGGCGATCGTTCTTCATGATGGAAGCGTACGGGGTCCCAGCCTGTCATGATGTCGAAGGTTATGACACAACCCAGGGAGTGGGACACGATGGACACCCTGCCACTCTCCTCAAACTCAGGGTTCCGCATGCAGAAGAGTGTGTATAGACGATTCAGCTCCTGAGTTAGACCCCTAGTGATCTACAGACACACAAAGCATGATGAATTACATTTGTGTATTAGGCTGCAACTGCAAATTGGTAGATATTAGAGTTTGAGATTGAGTGTGTATGTGGTAAAATACGCATGGAACATGCAGACAAGTGTGTCTGTGTATGTGTGTTTAGACAAATTGAATGTGAAAGTGGACAGTATCATCCTACTGTATGTTTATTTGACTCACAGTGACCAGTGGGCCCCTATAGTTGTCTACTCTACAACCAACATACATTAAATGGGGAGGACGGCTCATAGGACTTAATTTATTTTGAATATTAATGAATGGGTGGTGTCATTAATTTACCATTAGAAATCTTACAGACTGCACATGTGAGAGAGAGAGAGAGGAGAGAGAGAGAGAGAGAGAGAGAGAGAGAGAGAGAGAGAGAGAGAGAGAGAGAGAGAGAGAGAGAGAGAGAGACAGAGAGGAGAGAGAGGTATATATATATATATATATATATAGAGAGAGAGAGAGAGAGAGAGAGAGAGAGAGAGAGAGAGAGAGAGAGAGAGAGAGAGGAGAGAGAGGAGTGAGAGAGAGGTATAGAGAGAGAGAGAGAGAGAGAGAGAGAGAGAGAGAGAGACAGGGACAGAGATAAAAGAGAATCTCACCTCGTCTCTGTACAGAGGGCTGGTGTAGTACATGATGTCCATTGCACTGCTGTTGAGCATGTCCCTGAGTCCTCGAACTTTGTCTGGAGTGATGGAGTCAACAGTGTCTGCAACCATCACACAATCACACACACACCAAGTCACCTACAAAGACATTTCAGTCCCTCCGGTACATCAAACAGTGGGTCTACAAGCAAAATGATCTATACACACTAATAGCTGATGTTACTACTTAAAGTGATATTTTATTTTATAACTTTTATGTATACAGGTTTGTCTCATTGCAAGAGAGACAAGACAAGAAAAAGATAATTCCACATATCCATTGTCTTTGAGCACGTGCCGGAGCAAACGATAAAAACAGACTCTGCACCCTGCAATCTATGCTACCATGTGGTTTATTGGCAACAACGTTTTCCACCACTCAGGTCTTCAATAGGTTACAAAGTAGGTGTGGCCAAACTGGCCATACATACCACCATCCAGGCACAGTTTAGACCTCCACTCCACAGGAAGGAACTCCACATGCTCTGTGGAACGATCTGAGAAATGCTTCTCCTCCATCTTCCTAGCAGCGTCCCTCATCCTATAGAACAAGTAATGGCAAAGACACGGATGCACATAAACATTACATTACTAAGAATGTTTGGAAATATTTTCTAGTAATACCGTCTTCATGAAGCTTTATAAGCGCATTATTATTGCACAACATAGCTGTTAATAACTGATCATAAACAATGGTTCCGTGACAACTTTAGATTGAATCCTCCAGGACCACTCGTTGGTATCCTTTCTCCCACTCTGTTCACTTTCCCTATAATAATACCATATTTTAAACATATGAGATTGTATAAAACCCTATGACAGGGTCTGATAGGGTTTTATACAATAATATAACAGAGTTCCTTGTTCCTGTCACTCACATGCTTGTGTTCCTGATGATACGGCCCTGATCCATCTTCTGGCCAATCCCATGCACCACAAAGACAATGTGTGTTGTTTCGGGCGGTGTGTCTTCGGGCGCTGCCTCCTCCACATAGCCCCGATGGAGACGCGTTCCACTACTGCCAGCTGAGGAGGACACAGGGGAATTATACCAGCTCTTAAACACAGTATTTGAGCAAATGCCACAAAATTGCTAGATCTTTCTTTCAAAATTGATGTTTTTAGTCAGGATCATTATGAGATAAAAAAAAAAAATACATTATAAGGGCGTCATACATGCTTATGACAAGGCTTATAATGCATTATAACCATAGATGCACAATTGTACCTGCAGGTTTTAAGTTAGGTGTTATACACGATCTTGTAGGCAGTGAAACAAAGAGGATTCTTATTTGATGTCAGTGGGGATACAAACCTTTGGAGAAGCCCAGTCTCTGGGTGACAGTCCGTGCGATCTTGGAGGTGGTGGCGTCACTGTAGAGATACACCTCGTCCACACTGTGCCAGTCCACATGGCTTCGGCTTAGTTTCAAACTGTGGATTGCTGAAAGAATCACGACGAACATTAATTAACATCGACCTAATAACTTCCTTCTGTTAATGTGAATTAAGTCTCCAGTGACTTTTGTAGAAATCCCACTTCCATACACCATTTGCATGCACTCAATCAAGGGTCGTGTTCAGTAGGCACTAAACAGAAGAACATTGTTCAGAACGGATATGAAATTGTCCAATAAGAATCACTTGTTTTTGCTTTCTGTGGTAGCCATGTGCGATGTTCTAGTGTTTGTTTTTGGGCCCAGAACCGGTGTGTGTTCATCTATATCATTCACATAGAATGTGACACATACACCCTTCATTGACACTGTCACGCCCAACGCCCCACATGGCACGCCCCCGTCCCACTTGCCATTGAGTCCATCCACTTTACCGTCCTTGCTGTCCACTGTGGTGGTCACCACTTCGGTGGCGGTCTCGTAGATCTCCCTCATCTGGTGGCCACGAAAATGGGCCAGGTGCTCTAGCTCGATGAGGTCACTCTCGTCCTCCTCCAGAGGAAGCCATGTGCCGTCGATGAACCACTGGCCCCTCATCACAGGAATACGGTCCTGCTCTGTGGACAAAGGGGTTGTGATGTATGGTCATGTCGGTCCAACTGTATTGAATGAGCAGGATTGAATGAGCAGTAGGCTAACTTTGCTCTGTGCTCTGATAGATGTGGGACTGTTATGACATGCTTATTGAATAGGACTGGTATCAGTGTGATAAAACCAGGATTAATAAGACAAACAGCATGACAGAAAAATATATAGTGATAAGAATAGGCTACTTACGGTTCCAGTAGACGGGGTAACATTCTTTCTCTTTGACATCCACCTCATAGAGACCCCCTCTTACGCAAACAGCCTCAATGTTGACACTTATGGAATCCAGGTCGATTTCATCCGTCTCGTATCCTCCCTCCCCTCCACCTTCCCGATCCCCTGTTGCCGGCTCCGCTTGAACGGCTCCCCCCTCCGCCACATTCTCCGGTTGGGCCTCGGACCCAGTGGCTGACCCATTGGCGTCCTCTGGTTCGGTGGCGGGACTGCGACATTTCACCTTGCAGGGGTTTATTTCACATAATTTGCGGTAAATTACTTCAATTTTCAAAGAGTCGTGTCCAACAAATGGCTTCCAGGTTCTCTTGTCCTCTTTGTAGAACCATCGCACTTCCTCGGGTCCCAGCTCGGTGACGACCTCCCCACGGTGCCTGGAACTGTTGGAGCGGTTCCGCTTCTTTGTAGTCACATTCCCATCACTTTCGGTGTACTTCAGGTCGTTTGTGATGTCCAAATAGCCTGTCCCCGAGTCGGAGAGAGAGTGATAGCCCGAGTAAGTTTCCTCCACTAGGCCCAATATCATGCCGTCTTGAGATAAACGATGATCGCCTAGCAGCAGCGGAGGCAGGTGCATTTCCAAGCCGGACTGGACCGAGTCCATCTCCCCGTGCATAGTCTCTCCCATCGGTTCCTCGTAGCAGGACACAAACACATCATTGGCCATATCCCAGTCATTGCTGCTCACGGAATTATTATCCGAGCTCAGTCGACGGGTAGTCGACTTAATGTCCTTAAAATTGCTCATGACTTCACAAAACAATTCAACAGCTTGTTGCCTAAAAAACAATATAGCCTACGTTCTCAAACGTATTTCTTTCTGCGCCTCTTGTTGACTTATTATTGACAGTCATAGGTCCAGGACTAACGGTTTCCAAACCTTCTTCTTGCTTACCGCAAACGCCACCATCTTTGCGCCGGTTCATCCACTCTCAATCAGAAATAGGCTACCGAAAATTAGACTTCTTGAAATTATTGATAGATATCTTACTACTCAGAGACTCATTTTGTCACTGGCAGTAGGTTTACCTGTTCACTTATTCTATTCGCATACCAATCTGCGATTTCCTTACAACAGAATTACAATGATAGGCTACGTGCTCCTCCTCCCAAATGCGCGAAAATAATGCGCATGAGGGCAGATTGTGCCCTGCCACGGTAGTTAAAAGATGGAAGTAACTGCAATGAAGTATACGAATGTTGTTTTCTTCCCGGGTTTGATCATAAATCGGCTTATTTATCTTTAGCCAAGTTTAAAAATGGCAGCCGTGTTTCTAGTTACGTTGTATGAATATTCTCAATTATTTTACATTAGTGTCATATCGTTATGTTTCGTTGTTACCGCCGCCATGGTTCGCTGCTGTTAGGTTCCTGTCAAATTGCCTTATGACAACAACAACATTAGGCTGTTATTATTGAATGAAAGTCTTATTTTAGCCTACAAATCAAGTTGCTAGCTATCTGTGCCTACATTAAGCAATCGGTCCTGTTTATATTTTGTTCAGTAAAGCCCAACTTCTCATGTGTTTTTTGTTGTAATAAAGATTGCAAACGGCGTTGATCATTTCACATCACGGCATTGCTACATTGACACTTCACGTGACAGCATACAGAGTGATACAATGTTGCTATGTTAGGGACGCGAACATTTTATTTATTAGGATCCCCATTAGCCGAAGCCAATGGCGACATCTAGTCTTATTAGGGTCCAACACATAACGAAAAAGATATTACAGACAAAATACTTTACAATGTACATACATTTAAGAACATTCACATGTAGTGTGCGTGTGCATCTATCAGTTACACATACATGTCAGTACATACACACAACAAGTAGAATGAAACTTTGTAGCGTTGGATAAACGGTTAGTGCTATCCGGGAACCCTGGGACGGTCCTTACCCTAACTATAACCCTTACCTAACCTTAACCTTAAGTAAACTTCAATGGGGTAAAGTCAGAGTTGGGATGTCCCAGGACCCTGGATAGCATGGTCCTGGCATTCGGGAAAGTTAATCAAAGTATCATTGCTTCAGAAAAAAATACAGTATCTGGTATTGTATTTACTGAAACATTCACTGTTCTGCGCAGTTTAGTAATTTTCAATGTTCTACACACATTTCTTTACATCATTAGGTAGGCTATTAGAAAGCTTTATTTAAAATCAGAAATTGTTTTATAAATCAATTTGGTGTGCATGCAATATCAAGTTGTTATACTGTAGGCTACTTCAATAATCTTGTCTGATCTCTTACACACACAACATAATTAAATATTCAAATTTTCTGTCCTATGTTCCACCTCATCTCCCATAGGTTTGGTTTCATTATCCCAGTGATTCTCTGCATCTCTGATGAGTGAGTCAGTCTTGCCTGCCCCAGAGAAGAGGATGGTTCAGGTACCAACCCCTTTGCCATGGAGATGGGGCCCTCTGGGATGGCCTCTGTGACTGGTGAGAGAGCATGCAAAGACAGTTATTATGCAACAAACCACACATAGGGCCAGTTTCTGGGACCCAGATTAAGCCTCCAGGGCCTAAAAGCTATTTCAATGGAGATTTCGGGAAAATGACCTGTATAGCATAGTGTGTTGTATTAGGCCTTTGCCCATTCTATGTTATAGGTGTGCCGCCATGAATGATGCATGAATGTAGATTGTATTGCATAATATACCACATTTTCTTATTGAATGGTTAACCAGGGAAAAATACAACTAGTACTGCATCCATGCCAATTTCCCCAACCCCATCTGACTTCCACTTTGAATCATTCATTGTTTTCCTTTTTCCAGAGGGTGTGTCCCTGCTTCCATGCTGCCTGTAGCCTTGTGTGCAGAACTGTTACTGGGGTTGTGGTGTCCATGCCTTACAGGGGGCGCTACAGACCCACCAACACGGCCCCAGTAAACTCGGCACGCCACATCTGTTCCAGGAAGCTCTGCACTTCCAGTACCACCGCTGCCAAAGCTTCCAGTATCCTTCTCACAGGCGATAATCTGATAATCGTATAATCTGTGTCATTGTTGTTAGTATAAATACATGTTTTGTATATGTGATGGTCCTATGTGTTCGTTATGTTTACTCTTATTATTATCTATCCTGTTGCCTAGTCACTTTACCCTGTCTTTATGTATATACAGTATCTAACTCAAATACCTCATACCCCTGCACATTGATCTGGTACTGGTACTCCCTGTATATAGTTTAATCCTTGTGTATTTTATTCCTCTTGTGTTACTTTATTATTATTATTTTTTACTCTGCATCGTTGGGAAGGGCTTGTAAGCAAGCATTTCACCATAAAGTCTACACCCCTTGTATTCAGCGCATGTGACAAATAACATTTGATATTCAGGTTCTAGAATATATTATTTGCTAATGTTTGTCTTTTATGACATATTGCATATTAATGCACGTTTCATTGATGTAAGATATGTCATGATATTTAATCATCATGATATTTAGTTGTAACGTTAAGATTGAGGATAGATGGATGGAGTACATGCAAGGCTAAAATTGCATGTCTTTCAGTTCAGTTTCACCATGCATGTATTTTACCACTTAACCAAAGCCCCAGTATCGGTGGAGAGGACAGAGAGGAGCATTATACCAAGATGCCAGCCGATCTGGGGATCACTGATTTCGGCCTTTTGCCACGGGAACGCTACCCCCTAGTGGCTCTCCTCACGCTGGCCGAGCCTGAAGCAAGGGACACGTACAATATTGTTAATATGACTGTCATGGTAATACTTGGAACATCATCACATGGGGCCAGTTTCGTGGACACAGATTAGGCCTAGGCCTAGAACATGCTCAATGGAGAATTCCCACTGAAAGTGCTTTTTAGTCCAGGACCAAACTGTGTCCGGGAAACCGGCCCATGAAGTCCAATCACTTCAATGTGTATAAACCTAGGGGTAATGATGCAATCCACATCCCGATACAAGGTGTGTTCATTAGGTTTAAATTACCATTTTGGCGTGGGCGTAGTCCTAGACGTGACACTCATTATCCCTCATTGTTCCTCTCGCTCAGGTCGCCAGTGGTTCATGTTCCAGATGACAAATACAGCCTGTCGGCACGGATCCTGTTTCATTATCTCATTTTTACATTAACTGCACAAGGGAACATGTATGAGTTAAAGGTACGGCTTTATTTTTGTATTCATCATTTATTTATCCAGTCCATTGACATAGCAGAAATGTCTTGATCAAAGTAATGGGCAAGGGCTCAGTGAGATTACAGTAGCCTAGCATGATTTTATTCAGATCTTTGTGTTCCGATATCCATACTAGCGTACCATTTAGAATGCAGGCCAAAATACCAATACATTGCTTCCTAAGTGGTATGCTATTGTAGATATTGGAACAGACTGTTCGCTGTTAAGAGCAAGTCTGATGCTGGCAGATGACATCCTTATAAATGCAATGTTACCTGTTGTCTGTTTCCTCCTCCAGCCACTCTTTATGTCAGCCGAGAGCAAGGGGTTGCCGGGGGCGATTGATCCCGACCCCGCCCCTAGCACAGAGGCACCACCAGAAACACAGGAAGGAGAACCCAGAATGGAGGAAGAGGAGAAGATGCCAGGAATGGAAGATGAAGAGGAGGATTGGTCAGAGGAGGGAAAAGGCAAAGACTGTGTGGTGTGTCAGAATGCACCTGTTAACCGCCTGTGTGTGTGTGACGGCTGTGTCCATCGCTTCCAACACTGCCCCATATGCAGAGCTTTCGTATTAGAGTAATTTGCCCTGTTCCAGCAGCCCCATATGGAGGAGGTAGAGGAAGAATGAACTGTAATGTAGCAGGTCAATATTATCAGTATTTATAATATGAACATAGTAGTTACTCATTGGAGTAGCTCTATGGGCTACTGATAGGAATGAATGGTGTCCAAAAGGTGCATGCTCATTGTCACTATGGGTGCTGTTCCAACACAGATACAATAGTACCATTTCAACCGAATCAAACTGTTAATCATAGAATGGATGGTATGGTTTTACATTGAGGTGTCTTTTATTGGACATTTCCAACTGTTTTATGGCTATGTGAGCATATTAACCACATTTTATCGAGGTGCAAACTACTCCTTGAACTATTTGTAAACAGTGTAGATATGGAAAACCAAATATTTTGTGTGTGTAATGTATAGAGAATGTATTGTATTTGTCAATATACCATACAGTGTGGTTTTTTCTTTAGAGCTTTAATCGTGGGCAGAAATTGGACAGAAATATGAATTGCAGCTTTATGAAAATCGCAAAGAAATAAAACCTGGCATCACAGCTTCCCCAACATTTAAAAGGAAGCAAAACATTAGCACAATGATCAGTGTGATATATCAATGTGACATATTCCTTTTGTACGCCTTTACAGATACAGGTGCTCCAATGGCAAGAATATTTATCGTCTTGTTAATATAACCCTAAATAGTGGGCCAGTGGGCATACATTTCACACTACGGAGTGGGTACAGGGACATTAATGTATGCATTTCCAATATCTTTAACTGTTTTGAGGTCACTTCTTGGCAACTCTGTATATAAATGGTACACTAATAAGAACAGATCCACTTTTCTGCATCATACAAAAAGTTGACATGCCTCAACAGAAAACCCCATCCCAGCCTCCCTTTCTCATCTACTCTCCATCTCCATTTTCACATATAGGAATACAGATATAGGCATTTATATAGGCTTGTAGTCCAGCTTGGATTCAAGCTTCTTCGAATCGGCCACCTTGCGAACTGCCTTCATGAAATCCTCTTGAGTGACGTACTCGTGATCAGTACGGATCGCAAACATACCTGGAAGATGGAAAGAGATGAGACAGTGCATGAACAACAGGTTGGGTTCAGGACAATAACAGCTATGCTCAGATAGATTTCACGGACACAGATTAAGCCTAGTCCTAGAATAAAAAGCATACTCAATGGAGAATCTTCATTAAAATGGCTTTTCAGTCCAGGACTGTAGCCGGGAAAGCAGCCCATAATGTTGGTCAGTTACATTACATTTTAGTCATTTAGCAGACGCTCTTATCCAGAGCGACTTACAGTTAGTGAGTGGATACATTTTTCATACTGTTACCTGCTTCAGTGCACACGTTTCGCAAATCGGCTCCGTTGAAACCGTCTGAAAGCTTCACGATTGCTTCGTAATCTAAAAAGACAGAGCAACAACACCTGTTACAAGAAGCAGTATAAAAATTATAAAACATGATCGCACCCAAATGTGTCCCAGTCCCAGCTGTGCTAAAATCAAGACCACAGTGTCTCCATAGTGAGTGAGCACGTGCACACACACCTATTTCTCCATGTTTGGTGATGGGGCCAGAGTGGATCTTCAGGATGTCCAAGCGGGCCTGTTCATTGGGCAGCTCAATGTCTGTTGGAACAGTAGAAATAACCATGGGTCACTCATCATTTCATACCATAGACATTTACATTTCTTTCTACTTGGTTATGATGGAGAAAGAACTGGAAGGAGATCATTGTGGCCTTATGTCCCAAAGGGGATAAGGTCCTGCATGGCTCAGTTGGTAGAGCATGGCACTAGCAACATCAGGTTTGTGGGTTCGAGTCCCGGGGCCACCCATAGGCAAAAAATTTATGCACACATGACTAAGTCACTTAGGATAAAAGCGACTGCTAAATGGCATACATCATTATATTACATTAAGAGGATTGATTAAGTATGAAGAAGACAGGATGATGATGATGAGAGGAAGAACAACGTACGTATCTTGCGGTCCAGTCTGCCGGGACGCAGCAGCGCGGGGTCCAGGGTGTCAGGCCGGTTGGTGGCCATGATCATCTTGACTCTGTGCAGGGTGTCAAAGCCGTCCATTTGGTTCAGCAGCTGAGTGCGCAAAACACACAAAAGATAAGTAGGTGAGAAGCAAACTCATGATGAGAATGATCTGCTGTGGATCCGAATAACTTTAAACATCTTTCAGTAAGACCCTTCAGTGCGTATTGAAATGCCAGTCAAGCTGGCTGCAAACAACACGTCATTGAGTTCTATGCCCATCTTCAACATCCCCACAAGGTATAGTGTACTGACCAAGCCACAGAACAGTCTTTCCCCAAAGAAATATGTTTTATAGAACCATCATTCTCATATAAAGCAACGTCTGTTGAACAATATCCATTCTATGTAACATATATCTAAGAGTTATGGCTGCTCATTTTACCTCCATCAGGGTCCTCTGGATCTCTCTGTCAGCTGACGTGCCCTCTGAGAACCTTCGGCCACCTTGTAGAGAAAAAAATTAGTATTTCACTTACAACACATTCAACATTCCCAGACACTGCACGCAATGCTAAGCAAAGGGAGAAGGAATAGATATTGCATCAGGGCTCAGGATGTTTAGCCTGGACCCAGATCTGCTTTTGCTGTATAGCCAACTCCTATGGTTGACAACAACCACAGCAGTTGGCTATACAGCTCAAACTGATCTGGGACCAGGCTACAGGTGAGGATGCTCACCGATGGCATCGATCTCGTCCATAAAGATGATGCAAGGCTGGTGGTCCCTGGCGTAGTTGAACATCTCCCTGATGAGCCTGGCGCTCTCTCCAATGTACTTATCCACAATGGAGCTGGACACAACCTGCCGCAGCCAGTGCGAAGAAGTCGGGACACACTAAGCCTCAGCCATGTTGTTCAAAGAACAGTGAATAGAGCCCGAAGGGCCAGTGGAGGAAAACAAAGTGTAGCCTACTACTCACCTTGAGGAAGTTACAGTCCATCTGACTGGCTACAGCTCTGGCCAGAAGAGTCTTTCCGGTGCCTAATGAAAAGACAAGTGCATAAAGGAAATCGATGAATAAACCCTCAGGACCCGAGTGACATCTTAAATCGCATTACTCAGGGTGAATCTCAAAAGTCTTTCCTTGGTTCGCTTCATCCTTTACTCCTCAACCTCCTTCTCAAGACGCATTGGAGGAGAAGGTCTGAGGGGAGGGACCTCAGATCTTTTCATCCAATGTGTTTTGAGATGTAGGTCAAGGAATCCAGGACATGAGGAATCAAGGAACAACTTAAGAGTCTACATGGAAATCTTGCCAGTGACTCACCTGGAGGTCCGTAGAGCAGGCAGCCCTTTGGAGGGATAATCCCCACCCTCAGGAAAAGCTCAGGGTTGGTCAGGGGCAGCTCAATCACCTGACAGGGAACATAGGGGAGTGTCATATATAACACCTGACTGTCTCAGGAAACACTTGATCATAACTGTACTGTAGGATGTGATATGTACCTCTCTCAGTTCACGGATCTGCTCGGCCAAGCCCCCGATCTCTGAGTAGGAGATACTGCCAGGGTCTTCATGGGACATGTTGTACACCAGGGGGTCGACCTCTCTGGGCAGATACCTGTAGGGTGAGTGAGAGTACATGTTATCTGCCATCAGGGAAAACATTTAGGGCTGCAATATTTTGAAACGCCAATAAGCCGCATGTAATGTCAGTTATGGTTTATTCCATTTGTCGTCTCTCTCCCTCTCATCTCTTGTGGCTGGTTCCCACACACACCAAGCCCCGTCCCCTGTCACTCAAGCAGCGCAGTTCCTCCTCCTCGCTGTTAGATTCACTATAAGTTTGCATGCTGTTCTGTTAGGTCAAATGCAGTCAACACAAAGCTGCTTTCCACTTTGCTTCTTAATATAAAATCATTCTATTTCAATAGTTCACCCAAGTGTTTTGATCTATAATCGCATGTCAAATCGCAATATTTGGTTAAAAAATTAAATCGCAATTACATTTTTTGCCAATATATTGCAGCCCTATTGTGTATGGTGCAGTATCAATTAGTGATGTTAACGGTTAACCGTCTAAAATACATTTCACCAGTCATGCTTATCTGTCTATAGGTTAATGTGCATAATTTAGTGGAATTAAATTGGCGTGTGTATTTTTGTTAGTCATCATGCATCTTATTAAATCACACACGCACAGCATACAGAGCCTAGTTTGAGGAGCGGAATAGCCTATCACCTGTCAGACAACGCAAGAGCAGCTCCTCAAAAAGCTGGTACTTGAGTGAAACGTGCTTTTGTAAGCCCAGACATTGCACAACATATAACAATTCTAAATGCAATCACGTGTTAAACTGTTTTGATAGCCACGATTAAAGAGCTATTATTTTAATTTCTCAATCTCAACTCGTAATCAAAGCGCGCCTCCCATTCGTCATTCAAACATAGGCGCGAATAGGCTATAGTCTATAGTCACGAATAGGCTAGTCACCGGTAGGCAGGCTATCAGCACGTCACCTACCACTTTGCAATGTGAGCTTGGGCAGTATAATTGTTTGAAAACTGAACGTTTTACTTTACTTCAAATAATGGAGGTATGTCTTACCTTGCTTCAAAGTAGCCTAGCCATAGAAACAGAGGCAATTATTTTAAAAAGACTTCCTCATGCCATTAACCAGCATTTATTTCCTGTTCTATTGCTTTTCATATAAACTTTCTTTCGTCCAGAAGCCAAAGGCACAATCCTAGTCATATTAGCAACCCATCCTAGTTGTTGCTAATAGATGCCCCATCTTTCATCTCTGTCACATATGGAATCGCTCTCATTAGGTGCGTTGTTTAGAACGGTGGTTTCCCACAAATTGCATTTTAGCAAATATTTGAAAATGACATTTTATTAGCTGCTTAATTACAGGAGTTGCATGTTCAATAAAAGGCATTTTGACTAAGAGGATAGGCTTGCTATTGTTACATGTTTCCACTAAGCTCTTAATGAAAAATGTCAGTTCCTTTTATGCATGCATAGTATTTTCTGTTGGACACTTCATTTTACTGTTTGGAAAAAATGTAACCATTCATTGACCGGTTAATGAGGGTCGGTTAGCGACAGCTAAATTTACCGAAATTTGCATCCCTAGTGCCTACCTCATAATTGTGAGGGTGGTCATGTCCAGGGCCACTCTAGTGCCTGGTTTGAGCTGTGATTTATCCAGCTGTGTGAAAATGACAGAGACAGATTAGCTCAATTACAATAATGGAGAGATGACACTGAAAGTAAATAAACACTGATGAAACGTTGGTAACATCATGGTTTAAGACCTACTTGTCTGCGGCAGCCAACAACATAGCGAGGTCCATTGGTTGCCTTGACAATGACTGTGAAGAGAAGTAGATAATGAACATGACATAGTGTGTTCTTAAATTCACTCTGGAGTGCCAGAGTGCACTCTAGGCGTTTGTACATTCAGAGCGCACACTGGACGCTCTGGCCTAGGAGTAGGGTTGATCCGAGCGTTCTGACCTCACAACGGTAGTCAACTGGCTAAAGTTGGCTAACTTGCTAGCTAAGTTACTTCCAGACACAAATGAGAGAACACCTCACTGACAATTTTACTAGCCCTAGCAGAGGTGGTTAGGCGGTTGTCATGTTGTCTAGAGCGTTGGTGACTAACTGTGCTGCTGGCAACAATTTAATTACTTATTTGGGCCGACACCGGTCATATTCAACGGGTGTTGCGCGTTCGTAAATTCACAAGTTATTCTGCGCTCTGGCACACACAGACGACTGCTTTGAAATCGGAGTAGCTAGCCAGAGTGAATATACGAACGCACCATAATATGTAATGCCTAAGGATGTAGCTAGGCATATAATAGGACGATTGCAATAATGTTAGCTACAACTTACATTTCTCCTCCGTCAGCTGTTTGAGCACTTCACCGACAATCTACATAAAGTATGAAAATAATTTGTAGTTCAAATCCATTCATTATGACACACACTTTTTGTACACTATATTGCCGGTCAATAATCATGTGTGAATACACAAAACAATCTTACCTGACCAACACTTTGTAAGGCCTTCAGGTCATTTTCAGATTTTTCATATTGTTTTGTCTGTTCCTTGAGCTGTTCCCTCACTGAAAACAGTTAGACAGAGGATACGAATGGAATCAAGATATGTAACTGTTAGCTAGCTAGCTACTGTTCCTGTTAGTTAGCTGATCATGTCTGTTATTGTTTTTCCATGACTTCAAGCTAAATTCTAACTAATATTGACTGTTAGCTAGCGGTCTTGGCAAATAGCTGGTTAACAAACTGTTTTGCCACGGCTTACTACAGCAAATATACTGCTAGTTACAGCGGTTTTTGTAGCTAGCATTTTGCTAACGCGTTAGCCGCTTGTGAAGATCATTCATTTCGATGGCCGAGTCTACTGGCACTGCATGACAAAGCGAGTTACTAGTAGCCAACAACCGCTTAGTTACTGGTTATGTTGCTAATTTTAGTTAGATAACCCCTTTTATGTGCCTTATTCCGAACTATTGACAAAGGCAAGGTAATATATTACTTACACTCTTTTAAACGTCCGTCAATCTCTTTATGTTCAAGTAATCTTTTCCTGTAATCTTGGAGTCCCTTTTCTCTGGTGTCAGCCATGTTGCCGCTATGAATTATGGGAACAGTACAACGTCGGAAGATGTGTTTGTTTCTGTGTCATCATGCAATTTATCATATCTGCCACATGGGGGCAGTGTCTTCTAATTTTTACATTTTAGTCATTTTGCAGACGATCTTATCCAGAGCGACTTACAGTTAGTTAGTGAGTGCATACATTTTTTTTTTTTTTTCATACTGGCCCCCCGTAGGAATCGAACCCAAACCATGCTCTACCAACTGAGCTACATCCCTGCCGGCCATTCCCTCCCCTACCCTGGGCCAATTATGCGCCGCTCTCATACTGAGAGTCAAAGTGTTTAGTTAGGATCGAACCCACTACCCTGGCGTTACAAGCGCCATGCTCTACCATTTGAGCTACAGAGGACCACATTGAGCTACAGAGGACCACAATAAAAGCACTGCTTGAATCTATCATCTTATTTGCGGTCCGAGAAAAAATTGCTTTTTAGAAACGCATTTCATGCCATTCTACCTAATTTTACATGACTGGGGATGAGCAGAATCTTTTTTAATACCACAACAGAGCAGGACAACGAATGAGCGCATGTTGCAGCACCGGAAACCTTTTGATTTCTATACAGGCCATTGTTAAAAAAATTAGGATAGTCTAAGTTTGGAACAGTGCTAAAGATGTCTATCAACTGTAAAAATGGAGCTCAACAGAACCAGTTACAAATGAAGTATCTGATGATTTAAATAAAAGGCCAATAATTGTTTAACACAGCAGTCACATATCATCAGGTAAGCACTTGTAATTTTTTTCATTTGGGAAACTATCATTTTCTAATTTATAATATTTTATTCCATGATATTGTTGTTACAAAAAAATATTTGCGTTGACTGTGATTAGGGCATTGGAATATAAGAGCATCTGCTAGGCTAAATTAACAGCTGGTAGAGCACGGCGCTTGTAACGATAAGGTAGTGGGTTCGATCCCCGGGACCACCCATAAACAAAAAAAAAATAAAAAAATGTATGCACGCATGACTGTAAGTCGCTTTGGATAAAAGCGTCTGCTAAATGGCATATTAATATTAATATTATTAATATTAACAAACTAGGCATGCATAGCTCACCACATGATCCTCAAACCAAAGACTGGCCAAACCGCTGTTTCTAAAAGTGAATTCAAAGGCACTGTAGAATGACTGTATAGCCTAATGAGGCATTTTTCGTTTCATTACTATTTAATTCGAAGTGAAATTTCATTTTATACAGCCAATATTCAAAATGTATAGGCATGTTGTTGAAGTGCTGTTGTTGATGTGTTGTTGAAATGCGGAGTGCTCCTGCCAGCCTGTAGCATGTCATAAATGCTTCACAATTGATTTCTTAAATGGCAGGCTATAGCCTTGAAATAATAATAATAATATTAATTTTTGTTCCTTCTTAGGCTACCTGGCTTGCCCTTGACTGATTTAAAGTTAGTATGTTGTTTAATAGCCTGTTGAAATGTAAAACGTCAATTGATAGTGACAGAATCATTACTTCTCAAGCAAAGTACATTTGTCTCCTTGTCCTCAGCTATATAAGGTTGTAGTGCAGCCTCTGAATGTCAGAGACAAACCAAATATATCCCATATGCATCGCTGTCTGTCCCCTGCATTTTACAGCTTGTTTCTAGCATTGCGGACTAAAGCGTTGTTATAGATTTTTTTTCAAAATCTTAAGTTAAGGATGGGTAGGCCTATGCTTTTAGCCATTTTCTTTAAAAAAGCCATCATACCCGCACATACCCCCTCAATTTGAACCGTGGTTTTAACTTAACACACCAAGCTCTTCACTGACACTGAGATATTTAAGGAATTGGCTGACAAAATCTATGGATAGTATAACATAATTTCGTCTGTCAAACAGGTAGGCCTACATCTTATTTCTTGAATAGGAAGAAATAGGCTCCAACACAAAGCTGTCTTGTTGTTAGTAGCCTAAAGTCAAATTAAAATGAAGACTGTTTAAATGAATTAAGTCTTCTCAAAACTAGCCTACTTTCATCACCCGTGTGCTGTCCATCTCAGCAGCCGCTTCATAGGAATGTATGTAAATTACTCGAATATGGCTTAATGTGAGGTCAATATCTCTTATAAATAGATTCATTATGGGCAACAAAACATTTTGTTTTTATTCAAATCAATAATAACAATAGCAAGCTTACCTCCGGTCCTCCTTCTCATCTTCACGCTCTCCCTCTCAAGCTGAACACAACATCAGTAGGCCTAGTCCGCAGGCACAGATACTGCATTTTCTGGACAAATTGACTTGCCTCCTGAAGTGGAGAAGGAGGACCGGAGAATTCAGATCCTTCGGAAGCTTTCAGCTTTCCAGCTGAAATATAACATTTTAAACATATATTATATAAATGTCCTAAAGCAAAAATATACACAAATAATACATTATCGGACGAAATTGCTTTAGCAAGGGGCACAAGACAGGGATGTCCTCTCTCCCCCCTCCTGTTTGCACTGGCAATTGCATCACTTGCAGAAAGAATTAGACAGGACCTAAACGTAACAGGTATCCGTATTGGTAAACATGAATATGAACTCAACTTATTTGTAGACGATCTCCTGATATACCTGACCAATAATGCTTAAAAATCTCAGGACATAAAATTGTGACCGACCGGCTCGATTCGGTCTTATTTAGCAAAATTTGAAATTGTGTTTTTTACATTGGAAAAAAGTAGAGACTCAGAGCTAGAAAATGGTATATCGCACACTACAGTTGAGGAACAATGGGAAAGTAATTCTGCTTTGAAAGTTGATACACTTTTTAGTAACCTCACTTTTTAGAAAATGACCCTTGAATGTTTTGGTACACCTACTGGAGAGCTCTTCTTTGTCTACACCCATTCAGCATCATTCACACCCTCTTAAGTTTTAGCTTACATGTGAGGCCATGTAGTAAACAACCAAATATTTCAAGACTAAAGGCTGGTTTATACTACGGGTGTGTTCATACATTTAATCTGGAGTGCCAGAGTGTGCTCTGGGCGTTCGTAAACTCAGAGCGTTGTCAAATTGTCCGTTCGTAAATTCAGAGCGTTACGCTCTCGGAGCGTTCAGAGCGCACACTGGACGCTCTGGCTGAGGAGTAGGGTTGATCCGAGCGTTCTGGCCTAACAACAGCAGTCAAGCACCCAAGCTAACTGGCTAATGTTGGCTAGCTAGCTACTTCCAGACAGAAATGAGAGAACAGCTCACTCTGACCATTTTATCGCACTAGCAGAGCTGGTTAGGCTATTTTTATGTTATCCAGAGCGTTGGTGACTACAACTGTGCTGCTGCCGTTCGTAAATTTGTCAGTTATTCTGCGCTCTGGCACACTCAGACGAGAGTGCTCTGAAATCAGAGTAGATAGCCAGAGCGAAATTACCAGTTACATCTTTTGACAGTTGTCGCAGTGACATCATGAACATTCTATTGAAATTGTTACTTGCATAGTGGAGTCTTTTGTTTAGACATGTAGCTAGCTAGCTAAACAATTAACCAGAATCCCAACTCATACTGCATGAATCTGCAGGTAGCTAACCAACCAGGTTTCATGTTAGCTACAGTTGAAGTCGGAAGTTTACATACACCTTTGCCAAAAATATTTAAACTCTGTTTTTCACAATTCCTGACATTTAATCCTAGTAAAAATTCCCTGTTTTAGGTCAGTTATGATCACCACTTTATTTTAAGAATGTGAAACATCAGAATAATAGTAGAGAGAATGATTTCTTTTAGCTTTCATTTCTTTCATCACATTCCCAGTGGGTCAGAAGTTTACATACACTCAATTAGTATTTGGTAGCATTGCCTTTAAATTGTTTAACTTGGGTCAAACATTTCGGGTAGGCTTCCACAAGCTTCCCACAATAAATTGGGTGAATTTTGGCCCATTCCTCCTGACAGAGCTGGTGTAACTGAGTCAGGTTTTTAGGCCTCCTTGCTCGCACACGCTTTTTCTGTTCTGCCCACACATTTTCTATAGGATTGAGGTCAGGGCTTTGTGATGGCCACTCCAATACCTTGACTTTGTTGTCCTTAAGCCATTTTGCCACAACTTTGGAAGTATGCTTGGGGTCATTGTCCATTTGGAAGACCCATTTGCGACCAAGCATTCATTTCCTGACTGATGTCTTGAGATGTTGCTTCAATATGTCCACATAATTTTCCTTCCTCATGATGCCATCTATTTTGTGAAGTGCACCAGTCCCTCCTGCAGCAAAGCACCCCCACAGCATGATGCTGCCACCCCGTGCTTCACGGTTGGGATGGTGTTCTGCGGCTTGCAAGGTCCCCCTTTTTCCTCCAAACATAACAATGGTCATTATGGCCAAACAGTTCTATTTTTGTTTCATCAGACCAGAGGACATTTCTTCAAAAAGTACAATCTTTGTCCCCATGTGCAGTTGCAAACCGTAGTCTGGCTTTTTTATGGCGGTTTTGGAGTAGTGGCTTCTTCCTTGGTGAGCGGCCTTTCAGGTTATGTCGATATAGGACTTGTTTTACTGTGGATATAGATACTTTTGTACCTGTTTCCTCCAGCATCTTCACAAGGTCCTTTGCTGTTGTTATGGGATTGATTTTCACTTTTGTACCAAAGTACATTCATCTCTAGGAGACAGAACGCGTCACCTTCCTGAGCGGTATGAAGGCTGCGTGGTCCCATGGTGTTTATACTTGCGTACTATTGTTTGTATAGATGAACGTGGTACCTTCAGGCGTTTGGAAATTGCTCATAAGGATGAACCCATTTTATTTCTGAGGTCTTGGTTGATTTCTTTCATTTTCCCATGATGTCAAGCAAAGAGGCACTGAGTTTGAAGGTAGACCTTGAAATACATCCACAGGTACACCTCCAATTGACTCAAATGATGTCAATTAGCCTATGAGAAGCTTCTAAAGGCATGACATCATTTTTTGGAATTTTCCAAGCTGTTTAAATGCACAGTCAACTTAGTGTATGTAAACTTCTGACTCACTGGAATTGT